TTTTTTATGACAGGAGCTAAAAGTTTTAGGTTATATAACCGGTATTTCAATTTATTTTCAAACGCCCCTTGTGGTTCAGTTGGTCTCGATGTACACTTACAAACTGAAGGTCCAAGAATCGAATCTCTACCTAACCATTTTTATTGCAATTTTTCTAGTTTTTGAATTTTTACCCAAACTAATGCAATTGAGAGTGGATTCGAACTTGCGATCTCTCACCAAAGTTATTGAAAGCTTAACCATCATGACACTTGATGAATTTTGACAACAAATGTAGCAAAATAACATATATTTTGTTTTAGTAGATTTAACGCAATTTAAAGGATTCGAACACATGTTCCTTCCTTTGGATTATGGAAACCCTGCCACTATGCCACCTGGTGAATTTTGTTACCATATATAACAAAATTATATATGTTCAATTTTTAGCAAAATAATTATTATATTTAATTTTTAATACTTTATTACGACCGACGATTAACGGTTCGTCCGCTCGTGCTCACTCAAAATTCTAGATCCGCCACTGAGCATGCTAGTCGTGGACTAGAGAGAACCTAACTGATAACACGATGGCTATTTGAACCTATTGATTAAATTGAGTTGACAAGAAAATTTTATCAATCTGGGCCTTACCAAACGAATAGCTTCATCAATGACATTTTTGTAGCCTCTTTTGAATCTATGGTGTCTTCCACCTGCAAACGATAAATATTGTGAGCACATTGATTATCAAAAAACTTCATTCTGTGTCTACCAATCTTACCCAGTTTCTTTTCAATAAATGTTGTCAACCCATCTGATGTCACACTATCCGTTACAATGGTTGTCCGTGGATGCTGGTAGAAGAAGACCAAACAGCAAAGAAATTAGATTCGGTTTAATATGAGCGTGCTCAATACATTTCATATAGGAAAACATACTTCCTCTAACACAATAGCAGCCATCAAGGCAATCAATCTATTCCTGTTGAGCTCACGACCGCTGGAATCCACGGCAGCAGATCTAACCAAAAGACCCATTCATTAATAACTAGATAACCCAAAATGTAAATGTAAAACAAATGCACAAACTCTGCAAACCACACCTGTCAACATCAGTATCAAAGATGATGCCCAATTCTGCTTTGTTATTAAGGACAGCCTGTGTTATAGCTTTCATTGCTTCCTTGTCCTCAGGGTTAGGAATATGATTGGGAAATAATCCTGCCATAAGCAAATATGAATGAAAAATATAGTCCCTTTAAAAAAATTACGAATATGGTGTGTCTATACAAAGTATTCTAGAAGTTTTACCATCTGGCTCTAAGAATTGACTTCCAGAAGTAACAGCTCCCAGAGGCTCAAGTACCTTTCCCTGACAAATCATCGACATAAATATAACTATTAGCAGAAATGCATTTTTCACAGTCTAATCAGACGAGTGTCCAATGCTCCATATATACAAAGTTTCAGACATTGTCATAACATAACGAAGCAGGGGTAATCCTACAATCTGTTGTTGCTTTTGAAATAGGATAGCTTTGCTCAATAAGGAACAGCACTTAATCAAAGAAAAGAAAGAAAGAAAGAAAGAAACCACAATAAGTCTACAAAATCAGTACCGGGAATTCTTCAACAACAAAGTTTCACAGATTTTTCATAACATAACTGTTGGAGTCTTTGATTTATAATTTACCATAAATAATTGGTCAAACCTCACCATTGTAATTACTGTAATTTAGATCCTGATCTATAGCTGCTAATTTATGGTAGGTTCCAGTGATAGCCTAAGTTCGTCAAGTACTGTAATTATATTATTGTATTGTAATCATAACAGATGATTACAACACGAATTTCTAGAAATTTCCCTTTTCTAGAAATTCCAACATGGAAGAGCCATTTTAGGCTTCTGGGATTTCTTCCAACAGCCTCCATCGCTGTAACTTCTTTTTACTGTCCATTCTATATTACATCCTGTAATTTTGGCAATGTCTGAAACATCCAAAATCACCCTTCAGACTGAGAACCCAACCCTACAGATCACCACATCAAAACTGAATGGGAGAAACTTTATGGAATGGTCTCAATCAGCAAAGATTTCCCTGAAGTGTAAGGAGAAAATGAAGTATGTGATGGGATCAGCCAAACAACCAGCAGAAGACGATCTACAGTATGAGATCTGGGATGCTGAGAAGTCCATGGTAATGTCCTGGTTACTTCACTCCACAGAACCAGAAATTAGCAAGACATACTTCTTTTCCACTGCCAAGGTTACTTGGGAAGCTGTTTTAAAAACCTACTCCAAAGTAGGCATTGCTTCTTAAAAATTCAAGCCGAAACAAAAAATTATAAAAACCAAACAAGAATCCTTAACTGTTACAGATTATTATAATACTCTCTAAAGGGGATTTTATGGAGCTGGACTTGTACCAAGACCTGGAGATGGAAAAAACATATTCAAAAAAACTGAAGAACATGGAGGAAATGGAGCAGGCGTTACACTTTCTGGTAGGTTTAAATTCAGAGTTTGACAAAGCATGTGGCCATGTACTAGGTAAAGATCCAATTTCCACTTTGACGAAGCTGATAGACCCGAAATCAGATTGAGGTACCAGAGACGCAGCAAAGTAAGCAAGGGCAGTAAGGGAATTAACCAGGGAAGAGAAGGCACGTGCAGCAGTTGCATGGTTAGGGAAATCTGTTAGGAAGTTCCATAGGCAACAGCTTATAAATAGAGGCAACAGAATATGGAATGGCAGGCTGAAATTGGTACTCATTGGGAGAGTAGTGGACCTCTCGAACGTCCATAGTTATCCTTGTTATTTCTTTCCTTTCATTTTGCATTATCAGAATTGTTATCCTTTAATTCCGTGTAATCAACGTTCATCTATGAAATATTGAACTCATTTTTTGTCTTAGTTACATTAAAGTGTGTTGGGTGAAGTGACATTTTCTCAGGTTCTATATTGGCATCAGAGCAATTCCGGTCCAGATGGTGAATGTAACAGAGCGGGTAGGGAGTTTGGAAGGGGCTCATCAGAAACTGCAGGAGCAGGTGGAAGAGATGCGACATGGCATTACAAGGATGCAGGCAGAGATGCATAGAATGCAGAACATTGAGAAGAATATGGCGATTATTTTAGAACAATTCACAGTTATGAGGTCGAAATGGGATGAAACAGAGAGAGAAAGGAAGGGAGAGGGCCAAGAAGAAACAAAGGAGTTAGAGTATACCCTGCAATCGAAGATTACGCCGGACCTGGAAATGAAAAACCGATGAGAAGGGGGCGTTGCCGGTGGAAATTGGAGGCAGGAGGTTAGAAATGCCGGTATTTTTGGGAAAGAACCTAGACGAGTGGATCTTTAGAGCCGAACGCTATTTCCAGGTGAACCAATTAACGGAGGCGGAGAAATTGGAAATGGCAGCCCTATGTTTCGAGGAAAACGCTTTGGCATGGTACCAATGGGAGCAAAGAAGGAAAGGCGTAAGAAGCCGGGAGGAACTTAAACTGCTAATGCGAACTCGATTCAGGTCATCCATGGAGGGGACTATAGAGGAGCGTTTTCTGGCCTCCGGCAAGAAAGGTCGGTTGGAGAGTATAGAATCGCGTTTGAGACTCTAGTGGCGCCGATCGAGAACATCTCAGAGGCTATGCTTATGCTAGAGGGCCATTTCATAAATGGGTTGAGCCCAAAAAGAAGGGCCAAAATTAGAGTCATACAGCCCAAAGGATTGGACTGGATCATGGAATTGGCCCAACGGATTGAAGAAAAGAATTTGACCTTGCAAGCTGTAGTCGGTTCAGGCCCAATTAAAGGGAAAACAAGTAACAGCCTCAATTGGTCCTTCAATTCATAACGACACAACCAGTACAATTGCCCAAGCCCTAACCAAAAATTGACGACTTCGCGAGCAGGTGCCGGAGTTGCCTTGCCCGTCGGAGCAATTCCCCCACCATTTAAACGACTCAGCGAAGCTGAGTTGAGGAGTAAGAAGGAGAGAGGATTGTGTTTTCGCAGTGATGAAAAGTACTCAATCGGGCACAAATGCAAAAACAAAAGGGCTGCAGGTAATGTTGATATTTGATGAAGAAAGAGACGAGCAGTGGGGGGAAGAAATAGTAGCAGAGGCGTCGAATGAAGGGGAAAAATCTGATGCAGGGGAAGTAGTGGAATTATCCTTAAACTCGGCGGTAGGGCTTACTCCGCCCCAGACCATGAAGATTAAAGGAAAAATTCAGGTTGAGGAAGTGGTGGTGTTAATCGATTGTGGGGCCAGCCATAACTTCGTGTCGGCAAACTTAGTGTGAAAATTGGGTTTGCTGAGAACCGAGACATTGAGCTATGGGGTAGTCATGGGAACAGGGCTGGCTGTGCAAGGGGCAGGCGTATGTAAGGGAGTAAAATTATTCCTTCAAAACTTGGAGGTGGTGGAGGGTTTCCTCCCTTTGGAATTAGGAAGCTCCGACGTAATCCTAGGAATGAAGTGGTTGTCCACCATGGGCCCAACGAAGGTGGACTGGAAATCTCTTACGATGAGATTTCGGTCAGGAGGGAACATCGTTATCTTGCAAGGGGATCCTAGTCTTAGTAAGACTGTGGTCACTTTGAAGGCGATGATGAAAGCATTCAGGGAAGGGGGGGAAGGAATACTCCTGGAGCTGGGAAGTTTGGGAATTGAAGAGGAAAAAGGGGAACGAAAAATTCTAGCCGAAGTTGGGGAAGTCTTGAAGGAGTTTGAAGAAGTGTTTGCAGAGCCCGTAGGGCTGCCACCATGGCGAGAAAGGGATCACGCGATCAATCTTCACCCGGGGACAGGACCAGTTAGCATGAGGCCTTATCGTTACCCACACGTGCAGAAAAATGAGACAGAGAAGTTGGTGAAGGAAATGTTAGCAGCAGGGATAACCCGACCAAGCACTAGTGCATTCTCCAGTCTAGTTTTGCTAGTGAGAAAGAAAGATGGGGGTGGCGCTTTTGTGTAGATTATAGAGCGGTGAACAAGGTAACAGTGCCGGATAAGTTTCCCATTCCAATGATAGATGAATTATTGGATGAATTGCACAGGGCAGCCATTTTCTCCAAGTTAGACCTGAAGGCGGGGTATCATCAAATTCGGGTGAAACCTGAGGACATTCCTAAAACAGCTTTTAGGACACACGAAGGGCATTATGAATTTCTGGTGATGCCTTTCAGGTTGACTAATGCGCCTGCCACTTTTCCATCGCTTATGAATGAGGTGTTTAAAGAGCAATTGAGGCAATTTGTGTTAGTATTCTTCGATGATATTTTGGTGTTCAGCCGTAATCTGGAAGAGCATGTGGAGCATTTAAAGTGTGTCCTGGGAATACTATCGCAACATCAATTGTATGCCAATCACAAGAAATGTAGTTTTAGGCAAGAGAGAGAATATTTGGGCCACATCATATCACGTCAGGGTGTAGCCGCTGATCAGTCCAAAATTCAAGCTATGTTGAAATGGCCGACTCCCAAATCATTAACAGAACTTCGTAGGTTCCTAGGGCTAACAGGCTACTATCGTCGGTTCGTGAAGGATTATGGTAAGATGGCGTGGCCCTTAATGGAGAGATATTATGCAAGGGAAATTTTTTTTGGGATGAGGCAACGGAGCAAGCATTTCAGAGGCTAAAAACGGCCATGACGTCCATATCAGTTCTCGCACTTCCAGACTTCAGCCGACCCTTTGTTATAGAAACTGCTGCATCAGGGTCTAGCCTAGGGGCAGTTTTGATGCAAGACCAGCACCCCATTGCATTTTATAGTCACACCCTTAAGCCGAATGGAAGGGTGAAGTTAGCATATGAGAGGGAGTAGATGGCTGTGGTGTTCGCAGTACAAAAATGGAGACACTATTTGCTGGGGCATAAATTTTATGTGAGAACCGATCATAAGAGCTTGAAATTCCTGTTAGAACAAAGGGAGGTAAACCCAGAATATCATAAATGGCTGCATAAACTAATAGGGTACTAGTTTGAAATTCAATATCGGCCGGGATGTGAAAACAAGGCAACCGATGCACTTTCCCAAGTCAGTTCATCTGTTGTGTTGATGACTTTATCCATACCGTTGGTATTATAGTTGGACATATTAACAAAAGAGGTGAGAGAAGATCCTCAATTACTTCGTATTGTTCTAGAATTGGAGCAAGATCCTACCAACCATCCCGAGTATGCAATGGTAAATGGACAATTGTTATTCAAGGACCGACTGCTGCTGCCAAAACAATCAACCTTGATACCTTTAATGCTACAGGAGGGGCATGATAGTAAAGTAGGAGGCCATTCTGGCTTCCTTAAAACTTATAAGAGGATTGCTGCAAATGTTTATTGGGAAGGTATGAACTCTGTGATACACAATTATGTTAGCAGATGTACGGTGTGCCAACAGAACAAATACTTAGCCCTATCGCCTGAGGGGTTGCTGCAACCTCTTCCAATCTCCAATCAGGTATGGTAGGATATAGCTATGGATTTCATTGATGACCTTCCTAAATCAGGCTCCATGGATACAATACTGGTGGTTGTAGACCGATTGAGTAAATATGGCCATTTTATAGGCTTAAAGCACCCTTTTACAGCGGCAGGGGTGGCTGGAATCTTTGCTAAGGAGGTGGTGCGACTACATGGGGTGCCTCGTTCCATAATTTCAGATAGGGATAAGATATTTGTGAGCCATTTTTGGGAGGAGTTGTTTCGTTTACAAGGAACAAAGCTCAATCGAAGTACAGCTTACCACCCTCAGTCAGACAGGCAGTCGAAAGTATTGAACCTCGTTCTAGAAACCTATTTGAGGTGCTTTAAATCTTCTCAGCCTAGATCATGGTTCAGTTGGCTACCTTGGGCTGAGCTAGGGTACAACACTTCTTATCATGTTACAACCAAGATCACCCCTTTCCAAGCAGTGAAAGGGCGCAAGCCACCAGTATTATTGCAATTTGAAAAAGGATCCACATCCATATCAGCTCTAGACCAACAGTTACAGGAAAGGGATCACATGTTAGAGGAACTGAAAGCACAACTGTTGCGGGCTCAAATGAAGGACCTGGCAGATAAAAAAAGAAGAGAGGTGTAGTTTGAGATAGGCGATCTGGTTTATATGAAAATCAGACCTTATCGTCGCAAAACCTTGTCTGCGAGACCAAATGAAAAGCTATCACTGAGGTTTTATGGACCTTTTACTGTAGAGAAGAAAATTGGATCGGTTGCATATAAGCTGGCCTTACCGCCTACCTGCAACATTCATCCTGTTTTCCATATTTCCCAGTTGCGCAAAGCTGTGGGAGCTGTACAGGCTGTGAAGGAAGTACCCCAGAAATTAAGTGATGAATTAGAGATGCTGGTGGAACTGAAGGCATTATTGGGAGTGAGACCAGGTGTGGGATCCAACATCAGAGGCTTGGATGTCTTAATCCAATGGAAAGGACTTCCACCCTTAGAAGCTACTTGGGAGTCCTATGACTTGATGAAATAGCAATTCCCTACCTTCCACCTTGAGGACAAGGTGGATCTCATGGGGGGAAGTGATGATAGACCCGAAATCAGATTGAGGTACCAGAGACGCAGCAAAGTAAGCAAGGGCAGTAAGGGAATTAACCAGGGAAGAGAAGGCACGTGCAGCAGTTGCATGGTTAGGGAAATCTGTTAGGAAGTTCCATGGGCAACAGCTTATAAATAGAGGCAACAGAATATGGAATGGCAGGCTGAAATTGGTACTCATTGGGAGAGTAGTGGACCTCTCGAACGTCCATAGTTATCCTTGTTATTTCTTTCCTTTCATTTTGCATTATCAGATTTGTTATCCTTTAATTCCGTGTAATCAACGTTCATCTATGAAATATTGAACTCATTTTCTGTCTTAGTTACATTAAAGTGTGTTGGGTGAAGTGACATTTTCTCAGGTTCTATCAGAAGCTTTCACACATGTTCGTTAGAAGAAAGTCGTCAGGAATTAATGAGTGGAAATTCTAAAAAGGGTAATTAACACAAAACGTCCCTACCTTTTGTTTTTTGGCGGATTACACCCTCACCTTTACCTTTTTTTCGCAAAACATCTTTCTGTCAACTCCTCGTTAAAATGCTCTGTTAAATTAAAGGGTAATTCGCATAAAAGGTCCCTACCTTTCAATATTATTGTGCAAAACGTCCATACCTTTCATTTTTTTTAGTATTTTCACCCCTACATTTCACCTTTCATTGTGCAAAAGGTCCTTTTCATCAATTTTTTCAATAAAATGACGAGTTTACCCTCCTATTCAAATAAAACAAAAAGAAAAGAAAAGAAAAATAAATAATTAATTACAATCATGGTCCTAAATCTTTCAAAACATTACAGATAAATCTTAAATTCTCCACTACCGTCACTTTCACAACCCCACCAAGCCACCACCTATAGATCCATATAGCACCACCTTTCGGCCACACCTATTGGACTCCACCACCACCAGCCTCGTCTCACTCTCCTCAATATCCTCCCCCATAGTATTGGTCACCAATGTGTCCGAAACAACCACATTTACGGTGGTGGAGTCCGATGGGCATGGTAGTCGAAATGTAGTGTTATGTGGATTTATAGTTGGCAGCTTGATAGGTTGTGAAAATGGTGGTGGTTGAGAATTTATGATTTTTTTGTAATGTTTTAAAAATTTAAGGACTATGGTTGCAGTTGGTAATTCATCTTTTCTTTTTGTTTTATTTGAATATGAGGGTAAAATCGTCATTTTCTTGAAAAATGGATGAAAATGACCTTTTGCGCAATGAAAGGTAAAAGGTAAGGGTGAGGGTGTAATCCACCAAAAAACGTAAGGTAAGGACGTTTTCCACAAAAACATCAGAAGGCAGGGACTTTTTGTGCTAATTACCCTTCTAAAAAATTAGCAACTGGAATTTGGCATATGCAGCAACCAAAACAGGTTCAAACGCAGCCGACAGCAAGAAACCAGTGGATAAGGACAAGTTATGGTGTGATTATTGCAATAAACCAAAGCATGACATGTCCATGCAGCAGAAATTGCTTGGAAAGCCTCAAAATCAAAAAGGTTTATGCAACAAAGAAGGAAATTAATCGACAAAATTTGGTAAGGCTCATCAAACCTCACCATTAAAGAAAACCATGAATCATCAGGCTTCAGTAAAGCTGATACTGAAAGAATTAAGAAGCTGTTGAACCAACTTGATGGCAACAATGCAAAGTCTTCTTTGAATTCAAGCTCTTGCTCCATGTCTAATCAAGTAAAAAGGGTATAATATATACTGAAATTTTTCCAAGCACCTGGGTCATAGATTCAGGTGCTTCAGATCACATGACAAGTTTTTCAACCCTTTTTCGAGTTATTTACCTTGTTCTGGTAAACAAAAAATTAAAATGGTGGGTGGCTCGTTTTCTTCTATAGCAGGTCAAGGAATAGTGAAAGTTACTTCTAGTTAATTATAAAAAACTGGCCTCCAAGTTCCAAATAAGTCTTTCAATTATTTTCAGGACCACGTCGGGAAGATGATTGGGCATGATGAATTGAGGGATGGAATTTACTACATGGAAGTAGATTGGAAGAAGGATAATCTAAGGTCAAAAGGCTTGGTTTCTAAAGATGAATCTGATCAAATTTTCGCTCAGGTCATTCATCATTTCTTTTGTTGAAAATGTTATTTCCTTATTTTTTTAAAAACAACAATGAAACATGTAATGAAAATAATTATCCAATCTGGTTCATTTCAGAAATTTATTCCATTGATTAATTCGTCTATTACTCTTAGAAAATGGGTTCGAACTTATAAACAACGCCTTGTTTCTAATTTTGTGTTCATGCCGAATTTAAATTTCATCTCTCAAGTTCCTCTCATCATGTTCCAACATCAATTCAAGAAACCTTGATCTCACCAATGAAGGAGGATATGAAAGAAGATAAGAGGGCACAGGCAAAAAAAAAAAAAAGGGACCTGGGAATAACAGATAGCTTCTCTCACATAAACTTAAATGAAAGGTATAAAAACCAATGGCAGTTAACGAATATCAATATCTCAACTGAGAAGGACAAAGTAACAATGTAATATATTTATGGGCTCCAAAAACAGATCATCAAACATTGAGCTTTGAGAACTTGCAAGAAACAGTAACTCATCCAGAAATTTTACTATTTTCATATAGTGAACTTTTCTTCACTGGACATTATTATATGCTGCAATCCTTTTCTTCATTATTTTAATTTCGCCAGTAAAGCAAGTTTATAATTCAGAGACAAAAAATAACACAGAAACGTAATAGACATTCATGCTTACAGCAAAGAATCCTCCGGCCCCATTCCCTGCATCAACAACTATGTGGAATCCCTCCAGTGGCTTCTCTGAAAAAAGAAAGACAAACATAGATGAGCTGGCATGAATTTTTTGAGCCACCTCATCTAAAAGTTTAAGCTAATAGAGAAGTGACACATTTATTAATTTGTTGTCTTCATCAAGCCCTCCCACGTGTAATCCTTATTCACAGCAATACATTGACATGTGCAATTTTCATAAATGGGTGGCTGCGAGACTTAGAACAAAGATCCTGTTTTTTAACATGTTATACAATCTTATCTAAATTAAGCTGTTAAAGCACTTTTTTCTTTTTCTTTTTTTTCTTTCTTTTTTTTTTTTTTTTTAATTCAACAACTTCCTCGCAATTGATCAGGATGGCATGCTCAAGATTCGGAAAACATACTCTTACCCCCACCCGCGCAAGATATATAAATGAAGTTATTACCTATATTTCCTGCTGCTTTGCGAACTGCTGCTACAAGATCAGATGTATACACAGTCATATAGTCCACTCTTTTCACAGATGGAGTTGTTCTCCTCTCTGTATCCCTGAAACCTTCATCTGCAAAGTTCCCATATATAGCAGCAGCACGTTCCAAGATGTTTTTGATATCTGCTTTCCCAAGTCCACCAGCATTTGTGAAGAACTTAAATCCATTCCTATTGTAGGGAAGATGACTTGCTGTTTATAGACAAGTTAGAAGGATAACTTAGAAAGCTAACATACATCTAAGATTGTAAAGTACAACAAACCCTGACACAGCCTTCTAAATGTAATTTACCCTAAGAAACAACAAATTATAGTCCATAAAAAGGTCCATCAAAAAGGCTTCCCAAGAACTAGGGATCCCATTCCTACTTAGGTATTTCTAACATCAAAAGTGCACAAAGAGAGTAATTTTTGTACACACCTGTTAACATTATAGATCCATCAACTGGACACAGAAAGTCTTCATTTTCAGTGAGCGTGGAATTGAACATTGCTGGTGTAGATGCTAATCTACAAAAATGGAAGTGCTATTATCAGCATGTCTCACTTTTATGCGCCGGCTTAAATTCAAGAGAGTTAGTATGCATCAAAAGAACAGTTCATAACTGAACATGTATGCATTATATGTTTCTTGTTTAAGAATAGAACACCATTTCAGAGGGAAACTATTTATCTTTCTGTAAGAGATTGTTCCCCATTCACAAAAATGAGGCACCTGATGTAGGCATCAATTGGAACACAATTGAAAAAGCCACTCACCCATATTGAATAACATCTACACCTGCACTAGCTAGACCTCTAGAAACTGCATCCTGAAATTCAAATAAAGCCTGATCTTAGTAATTAAACGAATAAGTAGGCAATGGGAAGACCGTTAAAGGACAATTCTCTTTCAACAAAGTACGATGATTTATTTCGACCAGGAGAAAGTCCAAGCATTACAAAGATCAACAGCAACAATAATACTCATCTATCATCATGAGCAGTAAATTTTTAAGCATCAATACCCAAAGCATCCAACATTTTAGCAAATCAGTAGCTGTATCAAAGTAACTATTTTACTTGCTAAGTAGCTTATTGCTCACAAGCTAAGTTTCAATAATCTAGTCAGTACGAGCACACCTTCGTTTATTAAATAATTTGTTTTCTCCATTATTTGCCAAAATCATATTATCATACATAGTTTTCCAATGGAGTTGACCAATCTGAATTGCACAACTTACTAGAGCAAATCAAATTTTCTGCGGCCAGATGTCATTCCTTCAGCTGACCCTTCCCCCAAACCTAAATGTCTGCTGGTCATTCACAGACATCCACGTACAGTTTAGGGTTGTAAAATGAAGCAATAATGCTCACTTATTGTATGTGATCGCACGGCAGCACCTACATTCTGACGAACCCCCACTAAATGATGAGTTCATAAAAGGTATGTACTTATCAAACATAAAGATGACAATCCAGTGTCCACTAGTTCATGCAGCCGGTGCTATTATTTACAGGTCTTTCCAGGTGTGGATTTATAAGGACAGTCGTTGAGATACAGCTAAGCCAGGTTCTCTAGTACCCATGAAACCCACCAACCCACACCAAATTTTCACTAAAATAATAACATCATTCGGTAATGTGGAGTCCAGGAATCCAACATTACATATCTTGTCAATCATGGTCATCTCAATTCAAAAAAGTCTATAATATACTTTGTGTTCAACATCTTATCCAACTGTAACTCTGAAATGAGTACATTCTATAGGTTGAGACTTGAGATGATTTATAAAAGTGAAGATTTTGAACATCTTGTCACATGAATGTATTTCATAAACCCATGTGAATTGTGCCTTATTTTTGTCCCAAAAATAAAATCCTGATTTTCAGAATCTGATTACATTGATGATACCTTCAACTATGAAATTCTAAAACAATGATATTGTTGTGCTCTCTCTGTATGATTTCATTTTGCTTTCTCTGACTTCTCTCTTATTGCATTTTTAAACAAATTAACAGTGCCCAGAGAATAACCAGCGAAAACTTGTTAATCATTAAGATCTTAGAATTCCAAAACTTGTTTATGTCTTTTGAATTCTTATTTCAAAATATAAATTTCAGATAATAAGATTTATTGGTGGACTTTGTCTCTCTCTCACACAAACACACACACAGGTACATATGAAATACAATTCTCTGCGAGCAGTGTCAACAGCAAACCTCTGGCTATGCCCCTGGTGAGCCCTATTTCAGAAAACTTGAATAAATTAATTAAATACTAGTTAATTGGTACCTGTAACATCTGTGCAGATATTCGTGAATCATGGCCAATGGAAACTCTCAACCGTTTAGATGCATCAGGTTTCTTAGTTTCAATCAACCATGCAGCAAAGGCGGCTGCTATTGCTTCTGTAACTGGTTCTGTGAGGGTAACAAGTTCTCCTTCAACACCGCCAACAGCAACACCTCGAATATCACTGTATTTTGGAAAAATATCAAATTTTCTATTCATAATAGGATATCAAGGGAACGAATTTTTGGGCAGGAATCCACCAATTAGAAAACTTAGAAAGCATAGCATCAGGGAAAAAAGGTCAATCCATGCTGTTATAAGTTAAATCAAATGAACGAAATAATTAAACAAGGCATCATCTCGTACCTGCCATTTTGAAGCTTGAGAAAAGCAGCTTTGTCGACAGATGGTATCGACGTTGTAGAGGGAGCAGCTGCAAGAATGAAGAAAAACATATCTATGACTGCAAAAGTCTATGGCTAACAACAGGATCACACATTAACATGGTCTAGTACTTTCTTGACAACAAAAGAAGTCATTATAATGGAGACAAACAAATGTTAATTTCAGGGAAGATGTATAGAAAGTGGTATAATCAAATGGTTAGGTCATCTCAGTATTGCAAAAAACAGAAAGGTAAGGTTGAATCTGAATGTCAACCTGAATAGAGTCTAGAACAGACCATTGCAGTAAATAATTCTTCGGTTAAATTTTGAGTATGTGCGCAGTTGCATGGCTGAGATGTGATTCCATGCCAACTTCCCTCTTACAAAGGGAAGCAATGTGGGTCTATATTGGGCACAACTGTTCTGTCCATATTCAGCTCTAAACTGCCTATTCTTCTGGCAGCACTGTGCTACCAGAACATGTTCGACAACCTTCCCTGACATTGCTGCATAAAAAGCGAAGTTTGTGCTATTATTAGCCTTGTTACTGGTAAGAGCTTAATCAAACACTGTAATCTTTATTGTTTTTTTGGCAGAGGTTGTTATTAGCACCTGGAAGTTTTACATTTGTTTCATAATGACACCAATACATTGTGTTGATGGCGAGAGATATAAGGGGAGTGTATTTGGAAATTCAGAGATTTAATTATCTGAAAATACCCCCCCACTCACACCCATCCCCTGAGGGGATTTCAATATCAACTTCTTAAACTATGAAAATTACCGTGAACTACGTATATGTAGCAAATAAAGAACTGCATGCAGCCTACCTTTATTAATCAAGGAATTGCATTACATATCAGAAATTAAAGCCACTAAACTAAAAGGGGGAAAATTTTCATCAATTATTTACTATGGACATATTTTCTGTCGGATCGATCAAGCTTCCAACTTCATTTAGAATCATGCAACGAATTACATAACACATAAGAACTTCGTGTTAGAATTTCCAATCACATATAAGAATTTCCAATCACATATAAGAACTTCGGCTATCCCACTTAGCCAAGCCAGGAATAATAAATTAGACATAAATGAGTAAAAAAAAATGTGCTCATCGACATCTAACTTTGAGTTGTGGATCATCCAAGGCACATTAGCATGGCGTACTCCTATTCAAACCGGGGTTTGAAACCAAATCTCTCCTCGGGAGAATAGATGGAGCGATAAAAATAATTGTTATTTTGACAATATCTGTGGGTTCCTTAATTTTCTTTCTTCCACATATAGGAAATAGGGTCATATTATAATTTCTACTCACTAGATTAAGAAAATTACATCAAGTAATTCAAAGAAATGAATGAAAGATAATCAACTGAAGTTATAATAAAAATGTTTATAAAAGGTAATTGAAATGCAGAGGACAAGGTTCTTGGGCTAGAATATAGCATGCAAAACATCTTAGGATTCAGTGCTCAATTAATTAATGGGTAAATTCAATTTGTGTAACTATGCCTTCGTTTGGCCCCCATTTTTTCCAAATTTTAATGTTGGGAATAGTTTTTTTTTTAAGAATGTGTGGTTGAAAAAGAATGAAAAGTTGTCGATTTATGTGTAATATTATTTTATGTAAGATCGTGTGGTTGAAAATAAGAGATGAAAAAAGTGAAAGAGAATGGGGCCCAAACGGGGGCCATAATTTACTCTAATCTCAATAAGTAATTGTACTTCAATTTGGTTTAATCCGGTTCAAGTACTAGAAAAGAGCAGGCAGAGAGAGAGAGAGAGGTAAAAAATTGAGCAACATAAAACCAGTTAAACATTTTAGGATTCAGCCCTCAATTAATTAATGGGTAAATTTCATTTCTAGTAACTATATTTTACTCGTGTCAATAAGGTAACTGTATTTCAATTTGGTTTAATCTGGTAACTACACTTTAATATGATTTCAATCCAGTATTTATACTTAAATTTAGATTTAATCGAATAACTACAGTTTAATTTGATTTCAATTATGACAACTTTGTTCAATTCCATTGACAAAAATTGATGACGTAACCACACATAACAGTTAGTTGCTCACATGAAACATGTACTTCCTTGAAATAAATGATGCACTTAACTTGTTGATTACTAGTTCATTCATTTTCGTTGGTCAATTGGTAATTGGAAGGAGATATCGTATTGAAATCAAATTAAAGCATAGTTATTCTATTGAACAAAAAAGAAGTACAATTAGCTAATTGTCATTCTCTAAAAGTCAGGCAATCCAGATTGATAAAGAACAAATAAATAAAAGTAAGAATTTGATAAAATATTTGCAAAAGATTGGAATGGGAACAAATTAACCATCTAAACTATAAGAGTTTAAAAAACGAAAAGGAAAGTAAGTGTTAAGAACCACATGGCTACATTCATAGAGCTTTAGATGGGATATACTATCTGCATCTACTATTGAATTTTCAACTAAATAAGCATCCCCTTTTTCCTATTTTATCATACTTTGTATCTCTCTCTCTTTCTTTTTCATTTTTCCCCCCCTACAAATAATGGTATTTTAAACTTCATAGCCGAAGTTCAGAAACAAACACTTATGACTTCAATGCTTAGTCATTCAACAATCACTTGATAAACAAGTCAAAGTAGCAATTTTAAACTCCCGAGCAATCATCAAATACTCAGACGCCAAAATCCATAAGCCAAAGATTATAATTGAAAGTCCTAAAAATCGAATCTTTACTGATAGTCAAAACCAAATAACCTGAACAACAATTTTGGAACCAAAATAAAAACCCATTTCTGTACTTTCTTCAATAAGCTCACCAATATCATTACAATTTTCTTAGAACTGGGTTCACGAATTCACCATCCTTGAACATCCAGAAACAATTATACTCACAGAGAAGGAAATATTAGTACAATAAACGCAAAAATTTCAATTTTACCTGCCATTTGACACCCCGAAATAGTTAGCTAGTAATGGGCGGAGAAAGAGAGGATCTGAAAAGTTGGTGTAGAAAACTATGGAAGGCCACCTAATTGTGATTAGGTAACAGGTTCTATATATATCGATAATTAAAGGTTCAACTCACGTAGTGCGTCCAGGGTTTTAATGGGGAGGTAAATCGCGTGATGTGTTTTAATAGGTCAGAAAATAAAAGTTGTGTGTACACTGTGTCTATAAAGAATCTAATTTCATGTTTCAAGAATTAAATCTTCACACTGCTGCTGCCAGTAAGGCGTGAGATAACCTCACCCTTATCCTTTGCACCACTGACTATGCCTTAGGAGCCATATATACATATATATATATATATACATACTGCCTCTTTAGAGAAGATCTTTGAAAAAATTGGAGAACTCCAAAAACAATCTAAAAAAGATGAAAGAACTTCTTTTAGAAAAAAGAAAAAGATTAAGAAGAAGAAAAATGATGAAGGATTAAAAGAACAAATAAGAGAAGCAGTTAACCAAGCATTCGAGACAATATTAAAAAAGAGCCATGAAGAAGAAAAAGAAATTGCAGAATGTCCAGACCAGAAAGAAAAAGATGAAGCCAATAATTCCAGACTTTCAGATGAAGACGAAGATCCACAAGAAGAAGGATACAATAATTCAGACAGTGGAATGTCATTTTCATCAGTGGCACGCCATAATCTTAGTACATGACCAGATCTTCAATAATTCAGAAAAGACAAATTTTGCCAGGAGAAAAGAAGAAAAAAGAGAAGACCCAAAAATCAAGACTGAAGACTTTTTAGGAAAGATGTCAGAAATCTTTTGAAAAAAGAAAAAATTCTCCGACAAAGGGGAAAAAAATTCAAAAGTAGGAAAGATTTTTTAGACTTTTAGAAAAAGTTGGTGAAACTTTTGAAAAGAAAGAATCTCCAACTGTAGACTTTTTGAAATTTTTGTAAAAGTAAGAACTTTTCTTTCAACTTGTTAGATTTTGAATTGGCCAGAAGTTTCTCGGTGAAACGTGTGCCTTTCTCAAGGGTAGTATAGACTTTTTGCTCCCAAGAATTTTTCTATTTAAGGAATGAGTTTCATTCGATTTAGGCAGAAGTTTACAACATGTGTACTCTCTGCTATTCAAAAAACCTTTGAAATCTCTCCTTCAGAAAAATTATCAATCCAAAAAATCACTGTATAGCTGAATCATCCTTGTGAATATTTAAGGTATTCTTGTATTTCTTTAAAGCTTATTTTAGAACTTTAGGGACTTCCCGAAAGGGAAATCTTTAGTTGTAAATCTTTTTAAAGATGAATTTATAAATCCCTGACTTATGTTTTAATCTTTTGTTTATGTTTTTATGTTCATATTTCAAGTAAATATTTACTATACTCATCATTTTATCCTATGCATATAATAAAAGCATAACTTGATTTCTAGAAACCATACTGTTTTTAGATTAATCCTGAGTGATCTAGATAAATGAAAACTTTTGGCCGGAGTGAGCCTTTTGATGTTTTCTAGAGATGCTGGGGAAAGGGAGAAATTAATCTAAGAATTTTATAAGGGAGTGTCACGGGTAACCTTATAAAAAGGAATCAGGTTCAAGTTTATATGTCATAGGTGGTGAAAAAAAAAAGGGGGGGATTTATATATAATTCTTAAGAAAGATTTATAGAAAACTAAGAAGAGTACTGAGTAGGATTAAAGCTATTAAAAGTTTAAACTGTCACTAAAATAATAGCCATCTAAAACAGCAGTCATTTTAACAGCATACCCCCTCCCATTTGTGTGTGTGTGTGTGTGTATATATATCGATAATTGATGACAAGTGGTGTGGTTTGACGTGTATTAATTCCCATTTGGTCCCATTAATTTTCATTCCATTATAGTCTATTTTTCTCTCTCCTATTTTAATCATACAATCTTTCATAAAATAATATTACAGGTAAATCGAAGACTTTTCCTTCTTTTTTAACTATTCAGTTTTCAAAAAAATATTATTTCACCCATTTTCATTTCCAAAAAATGAGGGTCAAACGAGAGCTAAGTTAGGATCGATCGATGCGACTTTAGTTCAAAAATCTGCACCGCTAACTGTTAGATAGCAATAGCAAAGTAGTGAGGGGAGATATCAGGTTAAATTCACTAATGACCATCCAATATTTTACTTAATGTCATTATGGTTATCTAATTTGATTTCGTTTCATCATCGTCACCTAACTTGATTTTATTTCATCATGATCATCTAATTTTATATAACGTTTCACTATGATCGCCTAAATTCTTTTCACCATTTTTGCTAATTTTAAAAGAGTTAAAATGATAAGTTATTATAAAATAAATTTAAAAAAATAAAATTTTTTATTTTAAAAACATTTTTTTAAAATAAGTTTTTATTTTATTTTAAAATCATCTTTTTTAAAATAAATTTTTACTTTATTTTATTTTTTAAGGAATTTTTTAAATGACTTTTTATTTTATTTTATTTTTCTAAATAAATTTCTCTAAAAACGTGTTTATTTTATTTTTAAAACATTTTTAAATAAATTTTTATTATTTTATTTTATTTTTAATTAATTTTATATATAATGCAAAGTTACCTCGTTTTATCCTTTTTAAAATTAGTGAAAATAGTGGGGAAAAAAAGTGTGGTGACCATGGTGAAACGTTATATGAAATTGGTTTGCCATCATGAAATAAAATCAAATTGGGTGATCATGGTGATACTAAATATAAAATTTAGTGATTATTGTGATACTAAGTATAAAATTTGATGGTCATTGGTGAATTTAACTCGAAAATATCCATTTTTAAGCATATTATTTCTCTGTGGAATTGGATATTTAATAGATTTTTGTTTTACTTTCTCTTGCATCATCCTCTTATTAATTTCACCCTTTCCAACTAGAGATTTTTTTATTTTTTATTTTTTGACAAATTGTTTAACTATAAGTCTAATAATGGCCTCGTTTGGTACCCCTTTTTTTCAAAATGCATTTTTCTCTTTTTTCTTTTCAATCACACATTTTTCATTAAAATAATATTACACGTGAATCAAAAACGTTTCCTTATTTTTCAACCACACATTTCCTATCAATTTACTATTGCAAAACGCATTTTTATGTAAAAATTGCTCCCAAACACCCTCAATATAAGTTTCTGTAGCTGTGTATCATAATGAACTGCAAGTAAATTGAGTATTTTGTGTCCTTAGTTTTATTAAAACCTTATATTGTACTTGAAAAGTTAATTTTATCTTATCCATCATGCTCCTAATAAAAAATTATGTATTTTAAGTGGACAAGTTATGTTGAAACAATTTAAAGATCTTATAACTTTTGAAGTTTGTTCGAGTAGATTTTTTTAAAAATTAAGTTACGCACACAAAATCAAGTTTACACGTAATTTTAGATGGGGTTCGTAACTCAAATTTTGTTGTATTTTAAAAATTCATATAATTCTTAGTGTTATCGATTCATAAAAAAAAGGGGATAGGATGCTTGTTGAATAACTTGTTTAATTTCATATAATAATACATTATATTATAATCATACAAAAGAAAAAATTGATTTTTTGGTTTTCATAAATTATTTCAAATATACAAAATCTATAACGTAAAATTTTATTATTATCTTATGATTCTTTTCAAAATTTTGAAAATCCATATATTAAAGAATCTGTCAAAATTTTAATAATTGTTCATGAGCCTTCTCGTTTCAATATCAACCCTGGTTTTAGTAGGAGCCAATAGCAACTTACGTTCAAGACTATTCTCTTGAATCCTAACAAGAAGTGAAAAAACTCATTCTAAACGCATCTCTCTTGTAAAAAGCTTTGAGATTTCAATGAAAAATAGTATGTGAAGAAATTTTGTCATATATATAAATTATGTGGCTTGCCTATTATGGAGGTGTCGCATATATTGACTTGGTATCGGCTATTCAATTGGATTGGACCTATTAAATTAAGGGAAAAATTCAAAAATAGAAGGTTAAGTATCACGCATTTCAAAACTAAGAAGAAATGTTTCAAATTTTGAAAACCAAGTATCTATTAAAATTTATTTATGATTTAATTAATTATATATTTTATTTATTAAATATATTAAGATTACGGATCTATACAATTTGATCACAAATTAGCGATTTAGTTAGTCACATATTATTTTTCGGTCACAAATTAGAACTTTAATACGTCACAAATTATTTTATAGTCATAATTAAAAATTTTATAATTCTTTGTTCATCGGTCACAAATCAAAAATTTATAAGTCACAATTTATTTATCAATACAAATCACAAATATTATAAGTCACAATTTATTATATAGTCACATTATCGATCACAAATTAAAAAAATTTTAGATTACATATTATTTTTTGGTCAAAACTTATCTTATTCATTGGTCATATATTATTTATTGGTTATAAATTAACAAATTTAATGGTTACAGTCAACAAATAATTTGTAACCACCATGAGCATCATCACCACCACAGTCCCATACTAACCAATTGAAAACACAACTAAATAAACCCCACACACATCGTGGAATTGTAGATCCTAGCAACGGTGCATGGCAGATCTTGAACATGACATACGACAAGCTAAATCAGGAAAGGAACAAGAGGCAAGAGTCAACAAGCTGAACCAATGGTGATCTCACTTGCGACGGCGGGACACTTAATTGGTCTCACATAGGAAACAACACCACTCATAGCGGCTCCAACGAGAAGAGTACACATAGCGATGTCGTTGTCGCACATTGGCTGAGCAACACTCGTAGCTGTCGCTCTATGCACGACACTCGTCGTCGTCTCTCAAATCGTGCTTATCACTGTCGCTCAACCACTATATAGAGAGAGAAATGAAAGATTGGGAGAGAGAAAGGGACGGCAGTAGCTGTAGAGAGAGAGAGAGAGAAGATATTGAAAAATAATTAGGGTTTGATAGGTTAGATGGTTGTGGAGTGGATATGTATAATAATTTTTATAATATTATTATTAATATTTAGAAATTTAATTATATCTAATTTTTGAATAAACAAACTTTGGATCTAATTTTTGAAACTAGATCTTAAAAAATATGGATGTGTGTAATTTCCAAACTCATAACCTTCTTACAGTATGGATAGATTGATGGCTTCTCTTTACGTTTTTTGTCTGTATACTTCTTTGTCTCACTTTGATGAATCTTTTTGGACTGTCTTCCCTTAACGGCTACCTGTCTGACAGTACTTTAGTCCCATTGATTCTATAAAGATCCGTACATGATTTGTATATAGAACTGAAAAGTAT